AAATTGTCTCCTTGGGACAGAGTCCCAGAAATGGGATTACTAAGTTAAAGCCATGACTGTATTAAGGCCTTCGACATGTATCTAACTTATGAAAAGATTGTGTACCAAATTGCAGAGCCATTAGCAAAATACAAAAATGGGCACCATTACCTAGATTCTAGCTAAGTGCTTGACAGCTGTAGGTAACTTGGCACCCAAGGGACCTTTGTCAATGTCTACAGGCATTTTTAGTTTTCACAGTGGGAGAGATACTCCTGTCCTCTGCTGGGTGGAGGCCAAGGATGCTGCTAAGCATCCTACAGTGCATGTTACAGCCTCACACAACAGAGAATCATCTAGCCCAGAAGGCCGATGGTGCCAAGGTGGAGAAACTCTAATCTGTAACCATCACTTGGATCACAACCCTTTTCAGAGAGGAAAAATACAGAATCTCATTGGGCCCACTTGTCCACTGCTGTTGTTTCTGTTCGTGTCATATGACGTCAACAGTGAAAACTGGTCTAACGCCAGCTCAACATGTCCTTGTCAAGGATTGGAAGCCTGCTCCAGAATCAGGTTTCCTCTTGACCAACCCAGGGCACCACTTGAAACACCTCTTCCCCTGGGGCCTTGAGAGTTCTTACCAGTCAACTGCCAGTGTCTCAGTCCAGACCACTGTCACCCATCAGAAATGTTCAAATACAATTACACTTCAAAAAGGGGGGTCCCTATGCTCTGATTTTGAGAAATTTTCTGTAGATTTTCCCACACATCACCCCATTCCAAACCCACAGTATCCTCTGTGCATTACACCAAAACCCTAGGACTTTGAGGACACAACTTCAAAACCACCAGTCTGGTCTGTGGTAGAGACAGCTAACTCTCCTCAACATCTCTTCTCCCTTTCTTCCACTGGTAATAGGATTCCGAACTTGCAGTTGGTCAATGACTGCTCAAAATAAACACCATTTCCCAGGCTCTCTTGCAGCTATCCAATGGCTTCTATGTGGAAATGCTGAATGTGATGTCTGATAGTGCCACTGGAGAGAGGCAACATGCCCTTTTTCGCTGATGGCAGAAATGTGAACTTGCTGGCTTGATCTAGAACAGCCATCCTAGACAAGGAGGGAGAAGTCAAGTTGGGAGGATGGCAGAGCAAGGAGAGAGAAGAGTCCTTGATGCTCATGGAGTTACTGCTCTAGCCCTGTGCTCTCTCTGCCAGGCTTCACTATGGAGAGAGAATAACCCCGTGTTTAATTTAAGCTTCTGTTCTCTTAGTCTCTGTTACAGCTGAACCTAATCCTAACTGACACATAATCCAACTCCTTTATTTGAAAGATATACACAGAAGCCTGAATGGGTTATGTCAGGCTCAGTTCATGGTGCCTTTTCTGTCGGCTGTCTGGGAGTTGGCTGAATGAGATTTTTAAAATGTGGGAATCATTTAAGGGAAATGGAATACTGTGGGATACCTTCTGAGATTGCTAACATAAAAGAAGACAAGAGACTTGAATGTGGAGAAAAGCAAAGGTTTCAGAATATATGAGATGAAAGAGCACAGTCAGGCAAGGGAAAATGAAACATCAGCCCTCCTTTTGCAGGGTTAGATCTTCTGAATCCGGGAGTAGTTAAAACTCTAACGACACCCTTGGTGATGTAATGATCCAATTTTAGCTGTTGGCGTGTCTGACTGCAGACGCTGTTTATAGAGCAGCATAATTAGTAGATACTTCATGGAAGTGATTGTTGCTGGGTCAATTATTCTGTGATGGATTAGATGGATCAAGGTACTGCTCTGGAAGGAGAATCAACCTCTCTTTTTCCCCTATCAGGATAAGTGAGCACTCCTTACTTGTTATATTTATCCCCTTGGTTTCGTTTCACTCACAAAGGGAATAAATGCCCCTTCTGAAATATGCAGATTTATTTCCCCTACGGTCTAGCAGGTGAAGAAAAAAAATCAGCATCCCATTGAGTTAGAAGAAAGCTGTGTCTGCACATTGCCTAAGCAACCAGTTACTCAGGGCAATTCCGCTGAAACAGCCATCGATTCTGTGAAAAGTCCCTCAGCCTGGTTACGCGACACCCCACAGCCTTCTGTTTGCCCTTCCCAGCTTGAGCAACTGAATTTCTCATTTCCTACTGCCTGTGTTGGCTTCCTAAAGACCGTGCTGCAGGTGGAGCTTTGATTTTACAGAAGAAGTTATCTATCTTTAAAACTCTAGTCTTTTTAAAAGTCACTAGGACTTTCCTCACAATTATCAGAAACTTCTCTGCAGAAATGAGGTTCATTTGCCCAGTAGAGCTTGGAGGATCAGCTGAAACCCAGTCCCTAGGGTGAGTAGGAACAATGTGAAAGATGATCATGAATTGGCAATTTCCATTTTCTTCTTTCCAGGGCCCTGAAGATGGTTTTTCTTGGCTCTGGGACTAAATGGAGCGAACACCTGGTCCAGATTTGCTTTCATCCTTCTTCTCTAAGCAACTCATTCCTGGTGGAAAATATGCTGACACCACGTAGGCCCACACCAAAGAGAAGGAAATGCTTGCATTTATTCTGTCTCTTTGATTTCATTTGTGCCTCCTGAAGGTGAGGTCAGCCCAGACAAGCCTCATCCGGTACTTCACGGCATGGAAAACGGTTTGGCCCGGCTGATTGCATGATGATCACAGCACAATAGGACCCTGGCCGCAGCCCGTGAAGCAGGGTGCTGTGTTTCTGAAGACTGTTTGCGTTGCAAAAGAGCAACTCAGAGCTGCACCGAGATTCAACCTCCAAAATATGGGGGTGACCAGCCCTGTGTACACCTGCTCTTCAAGGTGGAGTTATGCTTCTCATCTGCAACTGACCGACTTTCATTCTGCCTCAGTCTCGCCCGTTTCAACGTTGAGTGAGCTGCTGCATCCTGATCCTCTCTGCTGTTTTCATCCTGCATTCATCCAGTGGCGTGCCGGAGTCAGCCTGACTGGCTCAAGAAAGCGATTGTGCATAGCTCTTCCCAATGTCATGTTCGCTCACATAACGTTGGTAGCCTGAAATCAGTCATGGTAAGGGTAACTACACCACAGACATCAGCAAATCCTACAAGTAGGGCTCCATCTACCCCCAGAGAGCCAGTTGCTAAACATTTACCACCACGCAACTGAGTTTACCCCCTTTCAAAAGTTAAGTCAAATAAGGTGGTAGAGTGCGTGCTTAGCATGCACGAGGTCCTGGGTTCAATCCCCAGTACCTCCATTACAAAATAAATATATAACATGTATATTTATATATATGTACCTAATTCCCCCCCACAAAACAAACCCCCCTAAAAGAGGATCAGTTTTATTTTGATAAATGTTTAGCTCTATCTGCAGCCTTAGGGAAAAAAGAATATCAGTCCTGGGCAAAATTGTTATACGTGCCCTATGTCCCTCAACACACGTTTTCTTCAGAACAGGTTCCTCCAGATTGGCCCCCCTCCCCTCCTGCCTGACTCTGATCCACCTCCAAGCCAGCCTCAGCGAGGCTGGACCACCTGGAGCTTTCCTGACCGTTCTCCCCATCAAACTGTGCCCAACGAGTGTTCCATTTACCTATGCCAGCCTGATAAACACATTCTAACTGGGTACTGCTCCCTATTTTATTTCTCTTAGATGAATGTATTTTTAACACAAGGCTTTCAATGTCTTAGCTCCAAGAATTAGGGGAATTTCAGTCCCTTTGGCAAGGCTAGCAAATGCTGTACTTTCCACTCAATTTTGCTGTGCATCGAAAACTGCTCTAAGAAAAAAAAATCTGTTTTTTAAAAAAAAAATGGGATTATGGTTACGGAGGAAATTGTCTCTGTAGTTTAAAGACATATTTAGGGATGAAATGCTATAATGGCTGTAATTTTCTTTAAAAATACTTCAGAAGAAAAATGGAGCAAATGTGGGAAAAATGTTAACAGTTAAATCTGAAGGATGGCTACAGGGAGGTTCGTGCTACTATTGTCTGTTCCCGCCTGTCTGTCTGAAGTTTTCCACAATACTAATTTTGAGAGAACTGGCTGTGGAAGACTGACGTTTGGTCAGTCTTGAGTAGAAGTGCTCATGTTAGTCCCCTAAAATCTGGGTCTGTGTTACTCACAAAGTTGTCGACCTGTTGGGTTGTTAGGATCACAGTAAAAGCCTGTGCCGGCACACGGTCCATCCTGCAGGGTTGGCAGTCGGCCTTGTGTTCCCACGGGGCTCAGCTCAGGCTCCAGATTCTGCAGTGGGCGGGGGGACGAGGTGACTGACCAGCAGGCATTTCGGCCTTTCCCAGTTCAGCTGGAGGCAGTTGAGCACAGTACACATTTCATTATCTCACCTTTGTGCTTTTTGTAACTGTACGGACTAACTGAAAAGAGCTGTTTTGCGTTAACCCTCATCAGAACAATCCCTACCCCATTCTGTTCAGTTTAACGTTTGAGGTCCCACTAACTGCGTTTGGCACGGTTTTACTCTTCCCTGAGCAGCAAGTCCCATGTCATCAAAATAATATTTTAAATATATGAATATATATTTTCTTGGAGTCACACCTTTTGTTTCTGAATGGTCTGCAGTGAAAATTTGTTGAATCTTTGTTCACCTCAGCACCGTGTCTGGCCCCCACGCCTGTCATTGGATAACCTCTATGAATGTCTTGAAGTGCTCATGTTCCCATGAACTTCTAGGGAGCCTGATTCAGTGGAAAAGAAAGACTTCCGGGCTCACCTATGAAAGCTACGTCTCGGCTCCAACAGGTAAGGGAGGCTACTTCCACTTACCTCCTTGCAGGAGAGATGAAGCATTCCCCAAGCAGGTGTTCTCAGCTTCTAGGTGTCTGAGCACATGAGGTAGACATTTCCAGCATGGCCCCTTGTTGACAGGCACATTTTTATGATTAAGGTCAGGTACATCCTGCACACAGGGCCTGACTCAAGCTAATCGATGGTTTTCATCTTGCTCCCAGAAACACGTGGTTAAAATGCATACATGTATTTTTGGTTTCCCTACACAAATCAAACTTAATTGAACTGGGAAGAGCCCTGGACGAAGGAATCTAGAAAAAGCTGGATTTGAAGCTCTCCCCGTCCACTAGTAGGCTACTAGCCCCAGTTCAAGTGTCAACAAAATCATCAAAGGCAAATGGGAGCAGAGCCTTGGTCCCTTCACTGAAAACCTCCTACAATGGGATGTGGGTGTCTCAAATTCCTCAGGAATCCCTGCAGATCATGCCCATAACCTCCTTGCTGACTCAGTCCTCCCTGCCCAGCCTCGTTTTGTACTTACCTCTCAGACTCTAAGACCCTAGCAGCCCTGGATTGCCCCTGGTGTTTCCAGCCCTTAATGTGGGACTGCCAGTGAGCCCAAGTCCCATATCTCATCCTCTTCCCCTTGACCAGCTATTGATTCAGAGCTTCCTCCTCCTCTTCTGCTGTGGCCTAATGATTTGAAGAGCTGAGACAGGATGATCTGTGGTCTTGGCCACCCCATGGAACCTTGGCTTCATTTCATAATGAGATTAATAAAAGCTATCTTGTATCTGCCTCGCAGGGCCGTTGTGAGGATCAAAAGAAGGAAAGTCAACCCCAATCTGACTGTAAAGTCCAATACATGTGTTCCTTGTTATCTATTTTTATATAATTTAATTTTTAACGTACACAGTATGTTGAGTAACTCTCCAAATAGCCAGTGTTGTGATTTGTTTTCTCCTCTAGAAAAAAGAAAAGGTTTAATGCAGTATTTTCTACCCAGAAAAGTTTTAAATGAGGGGGGTCATTGTCCTCAGATGCATCTCTTGAAATGCTCCCGAGGAGAGGATGCTTGGGCCTGCCCTGGTGTGTGGCCCTTAGAATGTTCCTGCTCTGGTCAGTAGCTACAGATCCAGTTCCTGTTCATTTGGGAATTCCTGACCTTGAATTTTCACTGGCTTTGATTTTCTATTGGCCTTCATGGCTTCCTTCCTCCCTCCCTCCCTGGCTTCCTAAGCTTTTGTGATGTCCAAACCTTCGGCACACAGGGCCGCTGATGCACCTTTGGTGCAGCAAGCTGTTGGGTGCTTCTTTTAGAAGTCAACACAATTGGATATTATTTTAAAGATCTTCTAGAAACACCTTGGGAACAGATTCTGTCCATTTCTGTCCTGATGTCTTAAACAGAAAATTTCCAGTTCTTCCTACTTCTCCATGTATTACTGTTCCATATCTGTTCCAGGTTCGACTGTCAACTAAAGTATCCAAGGCAAATGGACCCTTCACCACTTTCTTCACAACAGAATATGGGCTCAGATATTCTGAACCAATCACATTTTTGGCAACACCATCAAAGCTCAACCTAAAATTGTCTTGGGAGAGCTGAAATAAGGGCAAAACCCTGGAGAACTATTATGAAAGCACTGACGGTCAAGGGGATACATTTTAATACCCCCAGCAAACCTTCCTCTTGGGTTAGTTCTGAGCCAAATGAATCACGGCTGTATTGGATTTCCAGCTGAATCGATTTCCCCATGTGAGCATGGCAGTCCTCTGAGAGACATCAACCAACAGGAAGGATTCCATGAATGAGGGCCAAGGTAGCTCTTCACCCTGCTGGCCAATGAGGGGTTCCCTAAGGTAAGAGCACATCCTGAACAAGATCTGGAAAAATCTATAGTCCCTAATATTTGGTCATCTTGCCCCTGACACAAGATGAGATTCCGTCTGGCAAAGTCAACCTTGGAATTTCCATTTGTAAAATATTGGTGATCATAAATCTTCACCTCCCTCCTGAAAGGTGAGTTATTTTAAATATATTGAAGTATATTTGATTTACAGTGTTGTGTTAGTTTCTGCTGTACAGCATAGTGATTCAGTTATAATTATATAAATTCTTTTTCATTATAGGTTATTACAAGATATTGAATATAGTTCCCTGTGCTATACAGTAGGTCCTTGTTTGTCTCTTCTGTACACAGTAGTTTGTATCTGCTAATCCCAAACTCCAAATTTATCCCTCCCCCTGTTTCTCCTTTGTTTTGTTTTCTATGTCTGTGAGTCTGTTGCTGTTTGTAAATAAATTCACTTATGTCATTTTTTTAGATTCCACATATAAGTGATATCATATGATACTTGTCTGTCTCTGTCTGACTTACTTCACATAGCATGAATATTTCTAGGTCCATCTATGTTGCTGCAAATGGCATTATTT